GCAAGTGCATGAATCTTTGTAGATAGGGTTTACTTGTAAGGGTGTCGTACCCAAGGGACTTGTGTAAATTAAGTTTGTCAACAGATTTCTTAAATTCCAAAATTAACTTAAAAGTAGGATAATCGAATTGTGATGATTAATTCTAAATTAACTAAGTAGAAAAATAAAATAAACTAAAGAACAATGATTAAATATGATGTAGAAAATAGAGAGAGAAAACTAGGGGTATGAGTTCACCACTAACGTCGCACCACCAGTTAATTGCATCAATTTATTGGAGATATATCATATAACATGCACAGGGAATTAATCATGGCTACAAGCACATATTAATTCAACTAGAGAATAATATAATTTAAAGCTAAGTATGGACTATCTTCAATTGGTATAAACCATCTACCTATCTACTTTACTCTAGGATGTAGCATGGTCTATCTTTTCTAGGCATAATCCATCAAATCTCTAACATTATATTTAGAGAAATACCATTGTGTAATCATCTCATTCACAACTACAAGAAGCGAATGAGTTGTGTTCAATCACAAGATCAAAATATCTAAGACAAGATAGAAAAATATTTGTAATTGAATTAAAACTCTAAAACTGATTCTTATTGAAAATTCAATTAAAAACCCTATAGATTACATAATCATGCATGATAGAAATTATTCTCCAATAATTAAATACAATCAAACCAGGGTGCTAAGCTAGGGCTACATCACAACCCTAGCAAAACGTTTAGCCAAGCATAACTGTGGTGGAATTCTTCATAGTTGAGGAAGACATCTTCACCACCATGGATCAATCTCTTCTTTCTTCTGAATACTTCTCTTCTCTAATCTCAGCCTCGCTGCTCTCTCTCTCCTCCAATGTTGTAGAGGACCCCCTTTAAATAATAAAATATCATCCCCATAGTTCCCTTTTTCATATAGGAGACATACATAGAAATTCTGTCAAAGAAGGACTCCCAAAATTCATGCAGACTTCTAGGTCAATTTTGACAAGGTAAACAATTGTTTTAGGAAAAGCTCGTGAAACACAAAATTGTAGCTCTTCGAATTTTCTATCAACCAGCGTGGGAATTTAGCTGTTTTGACGCTTGAAGAGAGAGATACAGCCAGATAACCAAAACAGGTTGAAGTTACCAACTTTGGCAAAAGTTTCCTTTTTGGAGAAGGAGTTTTCTTTTTCTTTTTCTTTCCATTCTTATCAACTTGTGGCTTCTTTTGGACTATTTTCTAAGTATAATTAGACTTGGATCTTCAACATTGCTCGGTCCCACGAAATGTCATCTTTTAAAGCTCAGAATTACTAGTCTTGACTGATTTTACAATTAAAGCCCTGAAATAAATAAAAACAATAAAAAAATGTAAAATCACAAATAAACTATTATTAAGAGAATAAAACATACGAATAAAGGGCTAAAATGTATAACATTCAGTGCCTAACACACTCCCAAACTTACATATTGCTAGTCCCATAGCAATAAAACTAAAGAAAACATAAATACCGCTTTCGTGGGAATCACGATTGCATTTAGCATATGCAACAAGCCTTTTAAACCCCTAGATTAACCCTAGTGGACGAGTAAAGTCTCGTGAGTGTTTCCAGAGATGATACCCACAAACATACAACACAATTCAATCTCCTGGCAATCAACTTATTCTCTTAACATCATAATAATTAAGGGGAAGACTACACGGAAGTACTTCAAAAATTATCATCTGACTACACTCTTTTGTCCCTATTTCATACTTCATCCCAATATTTCCCACACACTTATATAACAAGAACAATAGCAAAATCAATCCCCAATGTTGTGAATTTTGTGAACTAGCAAATCACCTATGTAGTAATGTCTTTTCAATTGAACCCAACTTCTATAACTTCAATTCCTCAGATCTTTTCTCAAGTCATTTTCTATGGCAAAATATTATTTTTTTCCTTTTTCTTTTTTTTCTTTATCCTTACCCCCATTTCTTCATGCGAACACTCTATGTATATAAGACATGAGCCCCGATTACTCCATGAAAGGGTTACGAAATATATTTTTTTTTCTTCTGTTTTTTTTTTTTTTTTAATTATCTCAGCCATAGTAATAACCATCAAAGTTCACCAATTCATATCCATCCATAGTTATCAGAATACAACCAAAAATACAAGTACCCATAGATAAAATTCTAGTGAGCATGTGAAATCCATCAGGGACCGACAATACTAAAATTCCAATTACACTAGATAATGGAACCCACATAAAATAAAGTACGAAAATTAGGGATTCAAGACGATCTCAGAAAGAATTTTAAAAAAGTACTTAAGTGTCTTAATCCCCCCAACAATTCTTAAATACTTGAATTAAAGTCAATCTGCCAAAGAAATTTTTTTTTTTTTATAATTTAATTTAATTTTTTTTTTTATAATTTAATTTAAGTACTAGAGTATTTTAATACAACGAAAGTAAATGTTATGCCCCCAAACTGGAATTGGACAGTGTCCTCACTGGGCAAAAATCAAAAGTAAGAAAAATAAAAACTAAAAAGAAAATAAAAACAAAGAACAAAAGCACTTAACAGGATAGCTAAAATGGAGGCGGTGGAGCATCGGGATTAAGCCCGTTATGAATCATAAGCGCACGCATCATGTCCATCATTGTTCTTTGATCCTGACGAATCATCCTTTGTTCCTCAAGAATCATCCTCTGCTCCTGACGGATTTCTTGAACTTCAGATTGGAGTTGGGTCACCTCACCAACCAAATAGTCATAGGGATGCTCATCAGTGTCATCCTCATCATCACTGGCCGCCTCTTCCATAGGCTCATCATGGGGGTCATCACCAGACTCATCGTCGATTACCTGTCTAGTAACCAATTGACTTGGATGAATAGGCAAAACTTACTCACCCTGCACAATTGGGCGAGCCGGCTCTCCAGGTCCTGCAACCACCTTTCATGTCATGTGAGATCGGCTGCGATTCTAATCAACCTCACCATAGCGATCATTGCGCACAGAAGAGAACTCATCGGTAGCAATAGTGTAGCCCTGGGAAGTGAGCAGTCGAATAATAAAGAATGGCAAAGGAAACTTCTAATCTTTATCTTTTTCCGGAGTTTGCTTGATCACCAAATCATAAAAAATTTTAAGCTGCCCATAGATGAGTTCTGGAAAAGATACCCAATGGCCAAAATGGATGGCATATAAAGCACACAGAAAATCTTGACGATGCTCAGATTGATGAGTAAAAGGACACACATTGTGTAAAAGTACGGCATCGACAAACCATAGGTGTATTGGCAAAGACGATTTGGCAGTAAAATTATATTTAGAGCCAAAAGAATAATTTGCAGCAAGGTGACTAATCATTAGTCTAGTGGGAACCTCTGACATCGGAGTAAAAATTGACTCCAAATCAGTCGGGCATTGATATGGACATCCCAAAGCCATGGCAATCGTCGAAGGAGTAATGCGAATTATAGTACCATCAAAGGATGACATTAGTGCTCCCCGTTCATCTGAATTGGAATGAAGATTTTGGTAAAACACCTTGACTAATCTGGGGTACATGAGTTTACTAGCCGGCTCAAAAAGGCATTCAGCTTACCGGCGTCGTAAATCTGCAATGGGCCACTGAGTTTCTGGAACGCATGCATTAAGAAATTCGATGTCAAAACCCACTTCATAATTAAGTTTGCAACCATGCCACCTCTCATCTATGGTATCTCGAAGAGTTGGCCGCCTCGTGGAAGATTGAATTGAGCGGGTTGTTGAAGCACTGCATTGTGTGCCTTTCTTCTTTCTGGAAGCCATGTAAAAAGAAAAAGAATTCTTTGAGGCCTTTTGTCAAACACTTGGCGGGCAGTCCCAAATTCTTACCTTGAAAACTTTGATTTCTTCTCCCAAATAAGTGCAAGCAATTTGGATAATCACTTAATGGAATTGGTTTTGGGATATATATATATATATATATATATATATATAGTAGGGTAGAAGGAAGAAGGGAAATTGGGATGATGGGTTTTCTAATGTATAGGTGAATGGTTTATGGACAGTGGGGTAGTAATGGTAATGATGAGCAGTGGGATGGAATATGTTGAATTGGGTGTATGGAATTTAGTACTGAAGTAAAGGAATTGATAGGCTTTTATAGATGAGGTGAGGAAGATGGAACTTGTATTGGGTTTAGGAATTGGTTTGCAGTGGGTTAGAGAAGGAAAGTAAATTTATTGAGGGAGTAAGCTGCCGACATAATCTCTTTTTTTTTTTTCTTTTTTTTTTCTTTGTTTTTACCCGGGCGATGGTCACCCATGGGTCGGGCGATCGATCTCCAGGACCTGCTTCCCTGCTTCTTTTTTCTCGCATCCGGGCGATGGTCGCCCCAAAGCCGGGCGATGGTTCGCCCTCTCTTGCTGCTGATCTGAAAAAAAATTTTAGAAGGCAAACTTCAAATGGCCATAACTTTGTCATCAAGAGTTCGTTTTGGACGAATTATTTTTCCATTTTGGGTATTTTTTTGAGATCTACACCGTGCAAACAGCCACAGGTGGTTTGGTCGATGATTGGACCCAAAAAATGCTCCGTTCAGCCCCAATCATCCTTTTTTCTTCTGAATGCCATGGAATTTTTTTTCCGAAACAAGCATAACTTGTAAACCAGCACAAGTAACTAAAATCACTACAAAACGAATTAAATCCTCCTAATCTACTAAAACAAATGATAAAATTAAGGAGAGAAAGAAAAAAAAAAAAAAAAAAAAAAAAAAAAAAAAAAAAAATCTTATCTACACTTCCTACATTTAACGTCGGTAGGCGACGTGATACCTGGATGATTAAGTAGAGTAAATGGGATTCGTCAAAGTGACGGATTCAACTCCTTCTGTAGGCACAGAATCTTCAATGTACAACGTCAATCTCTAACCATTTACTTGTAGTGTCTTGCCTTTCTTTGGGTCAAAAATAGTGATAGCCCCGTGAGGGGTTACCGTTTGAACTTGGTATAGACCATCTCATCTTGAGCGCAATTTCCCTGGAAATAGCTTCAGCTTGGAGTTGAACAACCAAACTTTGTTACCTAGCTCAAAATATTTTCTCACAATGCGCTTATCATGAAACGCCTTGGTTCTAGCTTTGTAAATTCTTACACTTTCGTAAGCATCATTGCGAAGTTCTTCTAACTCACTTAGCTGCAACCTCCTCTTAGCCCTAGCTTGAGTCATGTCAAAGTTCAATTTTTTCACGGCCCAAAAAGCTTTGTGCTCCAATTCCACAGGTAAATGACATGCTTTCCCGAAGACCAAGCGATATGGCGACATCCCAATTGGTGTCTTGAATGCTATACAATACGCCCATAAAGCATCATTGAGATGCAATGACCAATCCTTTCGATCAGGTCGAACCGTCTTCTCAAGGATAGGTTTGATCTCGCGATTTGAAATCTCTACTTGACCGCTTGTCTGAGGGTGGTAAGAAGTACCTACCTTGTGAGAGATGGAATATTTCTGAAATAAGACTCGAAGAAAGTGATTACAAAAATGCTTTCCACCATCGCTGATTACTGCCCTTGGCATTCTGAACCGACTAAAAATATTGCTTTGAAGAAATTCAACCACCACCTTGTGGTCATTAGTCGTTGTTGCCACTGCTTCTACCCACTTGGAGATGTAATCCACCCCTACCAAAATATACTCCTTACCATGTGACATCGGGAATGGCCCCATGAAATCAATGCCCCAGACATCGAAAATTTCAATAACCAGAATTGAGGAGAGAGGCATCATGTCTCTTTTTGTAATGGTACCCAACCGTTGACATCGATCACAGGCCTTGGCAAATTTATGAGCATCTTTGAACTAGGAAAACCAAGTTAGACCACTCTGAAGAATCTTTGCTACTGTCTTCTTCCCACTGAAATGGCCACCACAAGTAAGTGTGTGACAAAATTTTAGAACACTAGGAATTTCATTATCTGGTACACAACGATGAATAATTTGATTCGAGCAATACTTATATAACTGTGGATCCTCCCAATGGTAATATTTCACTTAAGAGAAGAACCTATCTTTCTCATGTTTAGTCCAATTAGACGGAATTCTTCTGGATGCCTTCCAGTTTACAATATCAGCATACCGTGGTGGATTCTCCTTTTGAAGTTGAAATAACTGTTCATCTGGGAATGAATCATGCAATGGAAGAGTACACAATGAATTTACCAAAATTCTGGATAAGTGGTCTGCCACCACATTTTCTGAACCCTTCTTGTCTTTGATTTCTAGGTCAAATTCTTGTAGCAATAAAATCCACCTAATCAACCTTGGCTTGGTGTCTTTTTTGTTGAGTAAATGTCGAAGAGCTGCATGATCAGAAAACACAATAACTTTGGAACCCAACAAATAAGAGCGAAACTTGTCCAAAGCAAAGACCACTGCCAATAATTCCTTTTCAGTAGTGGTATAGTTCAATTGTGCCTCTGTTAAGATCTTGCTTGCATAATAAATTACTCTTGGCAATTTCTCCATTCTATGACCCAAGACGGCGCCAACTACATAGTCTGATGCATCACACATAATCTTAAAAGAAAGAGACCAATCTGGAGCCTGCATTATGGGTGCAGAAGACAGTAAAGAGCGACATTGCTCGAAGGCCTTTAGACACTTTTCATCAAAATGAAAAGGAACATCTTTTCCCAATAAATTGCATAATGGCCTTGTGAGTTTACTGAAGTCTTTGATAAAACGTCTGTAGAATCCTGCATGGCCGAGGAATGATCGCACCTGTCTCACCGATGATGGGGGAGGAAGATTAAAGATAAGATCAACCTTAGCTTTGTCTACTTCAATTCCTCTCTTGGATATTATGTGGCCAAGGACAATTCCTTCTTGCATTATAAAGTGACTTTTCTTCCAACTTAAGATTAAATTTTTCTCTTTACATCGTTGAAGAACAAGCACTAAATTCTCCAGGCAATTATCGAATGAAGACCCAAACACCGAAAAGTCATCCATGAAGACTTCTAGAAAATATTCAATCATATCAAAGAAAATAGCTGATGAGCATTGAAAAGTGCGCATTTAAACCCGTTATGCTTAAGCATTCTAGTACCTTTATCTATCTTACTTTGCCGTTTTAGACTTATTACGTGTTATTTATATTTTCAGGCACTAATCCCAAAATTGAGCTAACTCAGCCAAATAAGAGCTTAATTGAAGCAATCCTGAGATAAACCAAAGGAGGGAGTAAAGTGGAGAAAGCAAGGAGCAAAAAGGAATCAAAGTTGTGCAGCTGAAAAGTTCGATCGATCCAACTTAGAGTTCGATCGATCGAACATCTATGATCGATCACAGTACTTCTCGATAGATCCAACCTTGGCCTTTGCTGAAATTCCAAGTTCGATCGATCCAACATCACCTTCGATCGATTGAACCCTGTTTTGTCCTATTCAAATGATTGATCTTATCCACAGCTGTACGCCTACCAACCACTTTTGTCCTTTTCCCCATAAATATCTTCGAAATATCTCAGCCTTGTCCTTATCCGGAGGAGTCAGACCACTTCGATCGATCCAAGATGCAGTTCGATCGATCGAACCCATCTTCGATCGATCCAAGTTAACGTTCGATCGATCGAACTTCCTCCAGCGAGAAAAAGTTAAAGTCCAGCTTATTTATTCCGTCCTTCACCCAATCATTGGAGAATATGCCTTGCATGACCACAGCTCATCATAGGGTGTATTTGACCTACCTATATAAGGAATATGATACACTTTTTGGAGAGGAGCCTAGAGTCTCTTGTCACACATTGAAAATCATCTTGGAGGCTATTCTTGGAGAGGAAGAAGGGAGGAAGCTAGAGCAACCATTGGAGGAGATCTTCATCTACAAGGAGCAGCCATGGAGTTAGCCCTTGAGGGTTGGATCATCACTACCATGAGTGGCTAGACATCTTCTTGGGGCTAGAGTTAGCCCCAAACATGCTTTCTTTACCTAATCTTGTGTAATTTTGAGGGATTTGTGTTGTAATGCATATTTTGATTCTTGAACTTATGAAGATCTTGATTATTCATTGAGTTCTATGGATTAATGCTTCTAATTGATCATTTTCTCTATCTATATGTCTATGTATGCTAGAGTAGATGCTCACCTCTAGATTTAATGTTATTGATGCATGTCTATGTGTATTAATGCCTTTAATCTTGAAATTGCCAAAATATGAAGTTCTTAATGTAATGCTCTTGTTATGTCTCTAGATGGTTCATACTTATTCCTTGATGGATTGTGTTTCTCTTTTAAGTAGTGTAGTGTTAGTTGGGGAAACAATTCATGCTTGTTCTTTGATGTTCCATGCTTTTGAATGCAAGAAGCATATGCTCTAATTTTGTGGTGTAAAGGAATTTTGAGCTTAATGAAGGATTAATGATTGTTTATGATATGTTGTATCTTTCACATGTGTTTAGATAATTTATTCCTCTCCCAATAGATATTTTGTACCTCTCACATGATGATTAGATAATATATGTTTAACTAAGTCATCCTTATGGATTGCTTGGACTATGAGCTTAATGAAAGGTTCAATGACTTGAATTGTTATTTTGTTATCTTCACATGATGTTTAGACAATATATTCCTCTACCAATAGATGTATTGTGGCCTCACACATGTTGATTGAGACAATTTGCACTTGTTGAGTCACCCTTACCAATTGAATGTCTTTTACACACACAACATTGTTGCAACACATTCATTTCCCTCATTAGTCACTTGATTATGGTTTGGAATAGTATTGTTTGGTGGTGATCTCTACACCCCAAGACCTTTCCTTCTTACTTACTCTTTATCTTATTGCATTGTTTTATTATAGTTTAGCTCATTTAGTATAATCAACCAACCAACCAATTGTGTGATCACTCGACCTACTAAACCTAATTACCATAGTTCACAATTCGATACGCCATCAAATCCCTTGGGACGATCCCTACTCGCCCTATCTATATTTTATATAGAGAAAGGTAGTAGTGGCTTTTTATAAATGTAAAACTTGGCCACCTCCTAAACACACACAACTCTCAAGCTTTGTTGGTTGTGGCGACTCCATCAAGGAAACCGACAACAAGTTTTTGGCGCCGTTGCCGGGGATTTTAAATTGGCAACGTCGAATTGTGAAATTCAATTAGGATTAGTACTCTTTTGATCGTGTCTTTACTTTCTTTTTATTTTCTGTTTTTGATTACTTATTAAGTTTGTTCTTCATTAACAAGGTGCATTGAGCAAGGAGCTAGCAAAGTAATTCCAAGCTAAGGAGCAAAGCAAAGCAAAGGAAAAATGCTTAAAATGAAGAGTTGCTAAAAAATTTTTGCTAAGCTAAGTTTTTAAATTTGGAGTTGAAGTGCTAAAGGAATATTGTGAGACCTTCTTACTCAATCTCCTTAGTTAAATCAGGGGCCCACGTGGTGGCATTGCATATCATTGAAAGCATGGGAGTATGGGAATTATTGTATATGGAGGAAGTTGATGATATTTGACTTGTTGTGGAGGAGAAGTGTTTGTTTGATTGCTTTGTTGTGATTTGTGGTCTTTACTTGATCATTCACTCTAGGCATTCACATGGAAAACCTAGAGGGTAATCTTGGCTACCTAGACCCGCATTTCATGTAAAACCTCCCTCCCGATCAATACGGTCTCGGAGCTCAAGCTCCAATGCCTCCAATGGTACTTCGTGACTATTATTATGATCTCCATGCATACCATGCACCTTCTTGTATCATGTTGCCTAATTTCGAGACAAATCAATATGAAATCAAGCCCGAAACTATTCAATTGTGTCCATTTTTCTATGGTCTAAATGATGAGGAGCCTTATAAGCATCTAAATGAATTCTTTGAAATATGTTCCACCATTAGATACATGAATGTCTCGGAGGAAGTGATTAGACTACTCCTTTTCCCTTTCACACTCAAAAGCAAGGCAAAGCATTGGTTCAATACTTTGGAAGCAAATTCTATAACTTCTTGGATGCAAATGCAAAATAAATTTTTAAAAAAAATTTATCCCATGAGTTTGACCAATGCTATGCGTACTTCAATTAAAACTTTTTCTCAAAAGGAAGGGGAATTATTACATGAGGCTTGGGAAAGATTGAATGACTTGCTAGGGAAATGCCCACATCATGGCATTCCAAAATGGCAAGTGGTTCAATCCTTCTATGAGAGCCTATCCGACATTCATAAAGACATTGTTGATACATCATGTGGAGGATCATATTTTGGGAAACATGAGGATGACATTTGGCAACTCTTTGAGAAGATGAGCGAAAACTCTTTACAAAAATTTTATACTTCTCAAATTGACCATGAAAGAAAAGAGAAGAAGAAAAATTCTCAAGTTTGTCAAATAGAGAGTTCAATGGGAATTGTAGCCGAGATTAAAACTCTTTCTCAAAAGTTTGACCAATTCTTGTTAAATCAAAAACCGGCTAACAATTCCTATCTTCATCATCATACCTCTCAAATGTATGAGCCTTGTATGACATGTTCAAGTGTTTTGCACACTACTTTTGATTGTCCCCACGGACATGCTTATAATGAACACTATGAACAAGTCAATACTACATTTGCTCATCCCTATTCCAATGCTTATGTTCCAAGGTGGAATGAACATCCAAATTCTTTTCAAGCTCAGAATTTTCAAAACAAGTACATTCCACCTCACAAGAGAAATGAAAGTTTTCAAGGGTTCACTCCTTCATATCATCAAAGAATGAATAATTCTTCACATCCTCAATTGTA